GTTTTGATTATGGGTTATTTTGGAGGATGCAGAAGTCAGGAACTTTTGAAGAAATTGTTTCCAGTGGCGGAAGTAATTTTCAGGGAACATTTCATTGTACATTTATTATTTGTAATGACGTGAATAAATAAAATATGGTTCAGTTTTCATTTCTATTTATTTTTACTTGTGAAAGGTAGAGGGAATTATAAAATCTATAATGTCCCAAGGGAGTTATGACCCTCTTTATTGATAGCGTAACTATGACGATATAAGCTTATAATATCTCGGTCAGAAATAAAATTAGCTTTAAACCAGGAAAATTTCTTCGTATTTCTGAAACGCTTTGAAGAGCTCTCTCTCCTCGACAAAATTGGACTCAAATCTGATTGTGAATTCGACTACGCCGTACATTCGCATTCACAAATAGTTCACCTATGTCTTTTGAAAGAAAAATTCGATTTAAAATTAGACAAAATTATATCCTCACTGGAATTTAACTATTGATTACCAAAAATTATTAGATATACTTACCGACATCTATTGAAGAATAGCTCAAACTCATTCAAGAAATACCTTGTCTTTGTATACAGACTATCCCGTATATATATGAAACTACCTTCAATAAGATGTCACCGTCAATAGTATTTTGTGAAAACAGTTATATATTTAGCTTTTGTGAACTATTCGAATTATAACCATAATGAACAAGTTCAAAAACCATTCTAACAGTTAGGATTTTCTAAAACACAACATGATTTAACCAATTATTGACATTAGGATTCCTAATATTTATCAGGTACCTTCAAGTTTGAATAATTACATAATAGAACAATCAAGAATGAAAAACCTGCTTTTCCGGCGTTTTATATGCAAAATCAATGAAAGTTGGAACCTATAGAATATACAAATTTCAAAAGAATGCTAGAAATCTACATTTTTGAAAAGTTCATTATAATTTTTTCACATACTTGACACATATCATAATATGCTTTGAAATATTGAATTAACTTTTTTCCTAGGTCTCCGAAAAAACCCAAAAATTGAAAAAAAAAACTCCAGATACACTTTATAAAACACAAAATCTGAAGCAATGAAAAAACTGTTTTGTTGAATTGACATTTTTTTCATTACCTCTGAAACTAATTCCACTATAACTATTTTTACAAAATTTCAGAAAGGAAGCTGCATATCAATGAAATTGCTACATTTATTCATATAGTGATAAGAAACTAATTCTAATTTCCGTAGTCAGTCAATGTGACATATGAATTTTTAGAAGTATCTACTCCCACCTGCTAAGGTATCCTGGCAGAAGTGATATGAAGTATCTATTTGACTCTGGGTACAGTGCTACCAATCACTCCCAACTGAAGTAAATGGTTTTTTGACAGATTCAGCACTGCGCCCAAACCCAAAACAATCTGTTGCTTGGGGAACCTGGAGGAATTAGCTCCAATATTTACAATTACATTTTGAAAGTGCCAAGCATGCACCAGTGAAAAAAAGTGAAAAAATAAGTTTTTGTACTTTTTCTCTATAATTTCAAATTGAATATGTGACACTTTTCTACATGATAAAAAGTATCAACTTTGTTTTTCTCATCGGCACGTCTTGACCTCAAGTTAGTAAGTGCATTTTTTACCTATCTGTAGAGTATTCTTCAAACAACAGCACAGTAATTTTGACTTTATCCCCAACAATATTCCAACAACAATTTGTTTTAGGTTTTTGAAAATGATTTGTGATGATATTTGTTATTTGTGCTCTGAATACATCTTGTTTATTTTGATTCACATTCGATATTAAATTTTCTATGTCAGCTAATAATTTTGTGACTTTTATATCATTTGTATCAGGTGGAACACTGAATTTGTGAACTAAAGAAAGAAAAGCTAGAATATCCTCAGGAATATCACAATTTGTTAAATTTTTGAGCCAATTATCATTCACAGATATTTTTTCTTTCATTTCATTTTTGATTGAGATGAATTTATTTATGTTACGTTGCTCTTTCTTCTCTCGTAGTTTTGTCATCAAATCGAATTGCCTGGATAAGAGTATGAAAACGACGATCAGATAAAACCGCTGCAAAAAACTCTGGGGCGGTACCATCAGTATTCCACAATTCATCTGTATTCAAATGTTGAGCTTGTTCAACTCCTGCTAAATAAAGTACCCCTATAAATGAATTTATTTCATCAAAATCGGTAGGCAAACAATCTCTATCGCGTTGATATGATGCTCTCATTATTCCAAGTTGCATATTAGTGCATTCAACAATATGGCTGATTATTTCATCGGGAAAAAACAACTTGAAAGTATCTATGTTGGTTTTTGAATGTTTGGCGATATTTGTGACTCCGGGTAATTTGGTAACAATGTTTTTAGAGCGCGCTTTTGAATTTACTCTAGTTTTGTGTTTCAGCCACTTTGTTTCACCATCTTTTGATAGAAATGAAGCAACTTCAGTGGTACAAATGGTTTCTACATGGTCAGAACTTTCTGATAACTCTTCAAGATCAGACTGTTCCGTGCCGGTTTCATGCTCACTATGTTCGGATAATGCATCTTCATCTGAAACGTCACATATCACACTTGGCGAATTGTCATCCAGCTCTGAAACCTCCCATAATGCCAATAGTCGTCTTTGTTCCTATTCATAAGACATCTTGAAAGACATATAATGGTATATTTCGACCAAGCCAACAACTCGCGTGTTAGATTTCTTCTAACATTGCTGACTATGATGTCACAATCACACTGCAGCAAACGCCAAAGTACCGTACCAGACGTTAATATCGGACATAGCACTCAAGAAAGTGGCAAACCATAGACACGTGTTCCGGGCTTTTGGTCCATCATCAGTATGGTGCTATAATTTCCTGGACCCGTATGTCACGCAGGTAGCTATAGCTGCCTCCGTGGTGATTTTGATAGTTTTCTTGTGAATACAAGATCTATCAACTGAAACCACAAATGTGCGGTTGGCTCCTGTTGGTGGCTCCGTGCATTTGTATTTCTATCTTTTGGTAACCAAGTGTTGCCCATCCTTACACTTGGCTGCACCATACTG